CAGCAGACGTGACTTGCTCATCCGGGTACCAGCCAAATGTTAATTTAATAACATGTAAAATTGACGGGGACTGGGAAACAGGAAGTTGTGACAGTATATGTAAGCAGGTGCTTTCGTATTTGTAGATTTTTATGTAAACAAAAATGTTTTCTAAAAATAAGTAAGTTTCAAATATATCCAATTTAATTCTTCAATTTCAAATCAATATCCTGAATGTGGATATAAATAATAGTCATATAATATCTATCTAAAGCTATAGTGTCTTATCTACATTTATGTTTAATTTGATAAGTTATTTATTTTACACTTGTGTTCTTTGACATATTTTTGTTTTAAAGCGTGCGGGAGCTTACCGACTATAACACATGGAGTTGCTACTTTATCTGTACCGGGAGCCAGCAAATACCAGAATACTGCTGTAGTCACGTGTGATGCCTGGTTCCAAACAAGCGCTAGTCTAATTACATGTACAGCGTCGGGAAGCTGGACTTCAGCAAGTTGTACTGGTTTGTTTATTTTTTTTAGCTTTTAAAATGACATACAGAATAAATGATGACGAATAGTGAAAGAAATGACATTTTATACAGTTACTGTCTTCTTAATGAATTGTTTGTTTGATTGTTTTACTTGGTTTTACGGCACAGAAACAAAATTTAGGTCATATGGCCCCGAAAATATAATTTTGACTTATCTCGGGTATTACAAACTTTAAGCAACATCAGGGGTCAATACCACCTCACCTACAGAGAGTAGTTAAGAGATTCATAGAATCCAGTATCGGAACCCATTTGGTCACGCACAATTCTAATAACTCAACACTTACCAAAGGCAACCCCTCAGAGAAGAGACCTTATCATTGCAAAATGTAAACTAGAACGTATAATAACTTCTTTTTTTAAGACATGTCTTAATTTTCGTTTCCCTATCAAATTAATACTTACATTTGAAATGGCCATTATGTAACTTTTCATTTTGTTTAATTCTCAGTTATGGTTTGAACACGGAATTGCCGTCAAAAGAAACATACTTACAAACTTTCGACTATTGTTTTTCCAGTTGTTAAGCATTTATGTCAGTATTATGTGAAAACTGGTGAACTTCAAGCTATTTACATTTAATCTGAAGAAATGTTTACATAAAATTCCATACAAATAAATGATCTATTTTATACATTATCATATGGATTCACGATTATTCGGAGTGTAGCTCAAATTTGATTCAAAACTTTCATAAGAATCGAAATTAATGAAATATGTGAGGTTTTCAATGTTACATTCAAAGTCAGATTTACATTTTACAGATGTTATGTGCTACCCAGGTACACCTTGGGAATATCAAGGACAAGTAAGTGTTACGGTCTCCGGTAGAACGTGTCAACGATGGGATACAAATACACCGCATCACGTATATGAAACAGATCTTCAATACTATCCAGAGAACACACTGTCAGAGGCCAGCAACTATTGTAGAAATCCGGAATCATCATCAAACAATCCATGGTGTTACACAACAGATCCATCGCAACAGTGGGAATATTGCGCTGTGGTTCCATGTTAAATTATCTTAAATTAAACGTGCCCGCTAAGTTTCAGAAATGAATACGACTTTGACTTCTGAAAAAAGGGCAAACATATATTTTATAAGATTTTAATAATGGAATTAATAAGGGCTCATTAGTTGCTGTAATAAGGTCTCATTAGTTGCTGATCACATGAAGAAAGTATTGTCCAATGTCATTTTTTGTCATAATTGTAGAAAAACGTAAACGTGGTATCCATAGTTGTGGCATTCCTCGTTCAAGAGAAGAAATTTACTTCACTATTAGACATTTGCGACATAATATCGGGTAGGATTACCGAGAAACAGTTACGCTTATATTGAGGGGTCATCTCAACACATATTATGTACACTTTAAAATAAGACCAGGATATTTTATTGTGTTTCTTTCTTTACATCGAAATTTTCACTTTCAGTAACTACAAGACGATCTAATGCCAAGTTCTTTAGGTAAATTCGGAACTTTTTTAATAAGCTCAGCCATTGGTCGTTTGCGTTGACGGTCGTTTTGTCTAGTGCGCTGACGTGCATCACTAGTTTTGTCCTCTGATGATGCCAAAGCGTTTAACAGATTTAGCACGATCATCTTGACGTCTTGATTACGGCCTCGGTTGCGCTGTTCACTTGGGTCTGGACCTGGTTGAAGTTGTCTCTGGATTAGGCGGGAGCGAAGCTGCTTGTCAGCTGTCCGTGTTGGTCTTCATTTTTTACATCAGTTAAGATCTATCAGAGCTTGACTTTACAATGAATGCTGCATGTGAGCCGCTTTAGCTTGTCCTTGATTTAGATGTCCGTCCTTTCGATAGGAACTGCATCTGTTTTTTGTTGTTGTTTTTTTATCACTATAACCTTCATTCAAAACGCTGTACGGCCTAAATGTGTAAAGTGTCGAGTGGCAGTCGTAAACAAACAAGAGCTGTCCGTAAGACAGCGCGCTCGACTTTTTTATTGCTTGCCAATAAAAAAAGTTTTTGCAGTAAAAGGCAATACAAGAATCTCTGTATTTTTAAAGTGAACAATGGCCATGAGCATTAAGATATTTAGTGAAGAATTATTTTACTGAATTGTGTGATACCCTTGAACACTGCAGCAAAGTTTGAAATGTTTAAGTCAAAAGAGGGCTGGTAAGAAGGAAAAAAAAACTGAGTTGAGCCTTAAATAAATTTAATAGTATTAAACCCACTTTGAGAGAATAAGGTATTTTTACGTCACTCAGAACACCTTGGTAAATGACATAATAACATAATTTTTCAAGAAATCTATGCCAAGGAAGCAGTATATTTTTGTACAATCAGCATAATATATAGATTTGACTTTGTATGTGAAAGTATTATAGTTACCTTATAATACAAGTAATAGATAAATTTTATCAAGCTTTTTTAGATGTTGTCAGTTGGTCACAAGTGGATCTCTTTCACACAGGCTGTTTGATACCCTTGAATATTACAGCAATGTTTATATGACATAATTTATGGTAAAGTGAACAAGTGGATAGGAATGAATTTTTTTAGATTTTTTAAGTTTTTTAGTGCTTGCCTATAATACAAAACATTGACAGTTAAGGGCCATAATTCAAATAAAATCTTTGACAGAATTACCTTCTCCTGGACATGTTTGGGAATCATGATTGTAAACAAGTATTCCAACTTTCAAATTAATATCTCAAACAGTTCAGTCAAAAAGTGGACTGGTACTAAAAACTTAACCAAGATTCTAAGTCGATAAAAGGCCTTAATTTTTAAAACAAATCCTTGACAGAGTTACCTTCTCTTGCGTACAGATGGGGGTAATGATGTGAAATAGCATTAAAAGTTTCAAAGCAATATCTCAAAGGGTTAAGGCAATAAGTGGATTTTACCCATATTCAATGTATTTTCTAAGTCAAAAAGGGGCATAATTCTGTCAAAAACCTTGACAGAGTTATGTCCTCTTGTCTGTTGATGAAGGTCGTGATGGTAAACAAGTATGGTCAGTTTCAAAGCAATACCTCCAATGGTTTTGAAATAAAGTGAGGTGGTACAAAAAACTTAACCAAGCTCAATACACTTTCTAAGTCAAAAAAGGGCCATAATTCTGTCAAAAACCTTGACAGAGTTATGTACTCTTGTCTGTAGATGGAGGTTATGATGGTGAACAAGTATGGTAAGTTTCAAAGCCATACTTGTAATACTTCTGAAATAAAGTGGGGTGGTACGAAAAACTTAACCAAGGTGTGACGCCAACGCCGACGCCGGGGCGAGTAGGATAGCTCCCATTTTCATAGAAAAGTCGAGCTAAAAATGCCCCGTACTTCACTTCTAGTCCTTCAAGATAATTGAGTCCAGCATTTTAAAGTGTACCGCTTAAGCCGGTGCTAGGGGCGTGAGGGATGTTGCACTTTTTATTTTCCCTCATGTACAGAATTAATCAAACCGAGTCTGCAATTTTCGTGATTTTTTGCTGTGCTTCCGCAGATATTTCAACACTTTTTAGATCATATTTGGCTATTGCTTGCTTTCGATATATTAAACATTTTCACTACTGTTTAAATGCTGAGCGCCAAGCCAGAAGCTGTTGGAACCATTTTTCATGTATTTGGCATCACGTGGCTTTAACTAATAATCTTCTGTAGTCGAGGCACGCTCTACTAAAAGTGTTATGGAGGATTTAAATTGTATATTGAATATTATAAAAACATCAGCATAATGCTACAGCATAATGATTAAAAACGTCATTTAGATAGACACTGATAAAGTTTATTGCATTTAATTCAGGGATTGAACCTATCGTTTACACGATGCCAAAATATATAAGAATTTGGTGCAGATTAAGATTTACTGATTTACGATGTAAATACTTATTACTTATGTAGTTTATCGTTTTTTCTTAATTGTGCTTATTTAATATCTTGATCATTTATTTCGGTATAACTTTTGCTTATAATCCCACCACGATTCTTACTGAAATAGCAGAAATGTATTTTAAATGCACACATAGATACAAATTCTCCAAGTTGAGTTGTGAGACACCCGAAACACTTACATAATTCTTTAAATAAAAAGATAAATAAAATGGTCTACTGAAGCTATGTACTTATGGAACAAATGCAAGTACATATAGCGGTCACGGCTATTGATGGCAAATCTCGTAGAATATACCGATCTATAGTAGAGCCACAGGAATTATATTATTCAGGACAAAGGTAATATCACGTTATACAAACAAAAATTATTTCGTGGACAATGCCCATGTTATCCGTTACTTAAAAACCGCGTTTATTACATTGTTCGATAATTTTGAGAATATCCCTTTATATAACTTGTCCTCGATCCTCAATCCCCGTTCCTTATTATAAGCCGCAAATGTCTATTAAGGTCAAGGCCACAGTCTCATATGCTATATTCAAGGTCATTAATATCATTTTAATATCATTGTTCAGGGATGTAACAAAACAATTCCAAATATTCAAACACAAGTATTATTTATTTCAATTATATATCAAATTAGTTAGTATTACAATAATGTAACACAATAACAGAAACTATTAATTTACATGTACATGTATATAGCACTTGACATAAAACTTCAGATATATAATCAGTAATATCACATTGATATAATTACCTTTAGTAAAACACACCTCAATTATGTAGAAACAAATGTATAAATACATTAGTCAAAATTGGACGGAAATTCATATACCTGTTTAAATGCCACTGGAGTTTGCAAAATTAATACAATTTGTCTATTACCTACTGAAATTACTAAGATAATGAAATTTTATTAAATACTTTTTTATTTTTAATTGCATATTTCAGACTTAACCATTAAAAGCAACCCCTCAGCCACAAAGGGGCTTTAAAGCCCTAAACTTTAAAATGGACTGTTTCAAAATCACAAGCAAGGCAAGTCCATTACTTAAATTCAGCTGGTTAATGGGTTAATTATTATTTCCTTTACAGCAACAGTAACATATTGACTACAGCATAGCAAAGTTACATTTTAAAAATAAATTCACATATTTAATTCTCTACAATGTTCATCTTTTATAAAACTAAAAAAAAATATACCATTTATAATAGCCGACAATGTCATCTTAAATCTTCTTTGTAGTAAGACATTACAAAATATATATTTTCCCTATATAAAACTTGAGAATTCACATAATCTTTGTTGTTTATTACCTCCCTTTATGCTTTGAGCAAATAAATAACATTTATATTACTTCACAATATGTTGTATAAGTTGATTACAACCTTTGACAATATATTTGTACATAAATATATATCAATAATGTTTATTGAGTCCTCTGCAACACTGCAACTGAGCAAAGAAAAGTTCTTGCATATAGCACATTATCTTACCAAGATTACCATGGTAATAGAAGAAGTCAAACAATATGATTTATTTTTTTTCAGAAATGACACTATTATTCACCATATGTAGTATATTTAATTGTCACAAATTTCAGAGTACAGTTTCCAAATCTATCAGTCAATCATGTCAGTATATCATCTCCCACGAAATCATCCTCACACTTAACCTACCAGAACTGAAAGTTGTAAACCTTTGCTGCCAGTATAGAACTATGCCAGCATACACATCTGTGCAGCCTGAACAAGCTCTATATTGCTTGGCATGTGTATATAAAAATCCTTAAATTTTCAAATGGACTGTTCCAAATTTAAAAGCAGGGCAAATCCATTTTACAAATTCAGAAGGTAAAGGGTTAAAAAAGTATTAACAGGAAATGGTAGGACCTGTCACAACATATTTACTATATAAATATATTTGTCAGACATGTTATGGCACATGCATGTACATAGAAAGCATGCTCATACAAAATATCTTGGGTGATACTTGATACTCTAAGACTTGACACTTTTAAGACTTGACACTCTTAAGAATTGATACTCGAAGAAATATCATACCAGGGGATGGTAAAGAAATGTATAAATTTTCAGATCTTTTAAACATTGAGAAGATCAAAGTGTAAATAATGAACTTTAGAAACAAAATCAGAACGTGTTTAAATGCTGAAAAAATCACAGATATAATAAAAGTAAAGTGATTTCAAGGAATGTAAGAAGATACATAATTTTAAAACTTTGTTTTTGATAAATGAGTACAAATAAAACATGTTAATATATTACTTCTATAAAAGTTCTTCAAGTCACAGCATGGAATGTTTTATGAATATTCACATTGTATATCAAATTCTTAACATATTCTTTTAACAGAATGATATCATCAACTTCTTAACATATTCTTTTAACTGAATGTACTGAAACAAAAACCTTTTTCTTTATTTTTTGAATGTTGTCAAAAACAAAACCTAGATATTCTTAATAAATAAAGAAACAAAACAAAAGAATATAATGTGATTAAATATTTCAACTGCAGTGCAAATCACTGATGACACATATCTAGATTTGATCTTTACTAAACATTATACAATAAACATACTTAATAAATTTATGACTTATTTTCACATAATCCATGTAAAAATGCCATGGTACGCAAACTTGAACAGAGACATTCATGTAAACTAAAACATCCTGTAACAAGATAATAATTAAATCAATCAACTAGCTAAAAGATGATAATTAAATCAATCAGCTAGCTAAAAGATGATAATTAAATCAATCAGCTAGCTAAGTGATAATAATTAAATCAATTAGCTTAAATCAATCAGCTAGCTCAAAGATGATAATTGAATCAATCAGCTAGCTTAAAGATGATAATTCAATCAATCAGCTAGCTGAAAAATGATAACTGAGTCAATCAGCTAGCAAATAGATAATAACTTAAATCAATCAGCTGGCTTTCTTTTCTTCCCTGACAATATAGATGAAGTTCTGGCTGCCAATAGCAACACGTGGATGACTACCTTTATGATCATTGTCCAGACAATACACACTCTGCTGAAGATCCAACAACTGACCAGTGGTCTAAAATAAAACATTGACAAGGTAATAAATCCATTTCTCATTTTAAACTACATAACACCTAATGAGTTAAGAAATTTAAAAAAAAAAAGGGAATTTCCAAAAAAAAAGGTGGAAAAAAAAAGGAATTTCCGAAAAAAAGAAAAAAAAAAGGAAGGTGGAAAAAATTTTGATGAAAAAAAAAATCGTTATTTTAGGAAATGTATTTATGTTCATAATTCATCTGAGAAGGAAAGCTAAGATATTTGTTGGACATTATTTCAGACACAAGCAGAATCCTGGTAGATACATCAACCTTTTTTGAATTACTTGAAAAAGGACCAATGGTTCAGGTACAGGCTGCAACTCTCTTTAATATGGTTGGGGTAAAGGGCAAAAATACAACAAAATCAATAATCTCAGTTCAGAGTTCAAATGACTTTAAAAACAATACACTAGATACAAACTAAATATGCCTTTCAAATGGAAAAGCCAAATTTAGACTAAAATGACTGTAAATTAAATGATTTAGAAAACTTTACACTCAATGCTCAGTACTGGTTGGTTACAGGAACGGATTCAAAAGTGGGTCTAGCTTCCTACACCATCAAACTAAAATAAATTCTATATAAACTAAATTAAATGATTTAGAGGCAAGCTTAGACTACATCTATATTGTAATATAGCTATGTTACAGTAAACTCACATTCAATGTTCCTCTATCAATAATTCTAGCCATATTATGATTGTGTCCCCCACAGATTATGCTGTCATGGCCAAGCCACTGACAGCAGTAAACCATCGTGTTGTTTAATGGCTCCGGTGGCACATCCTTTATCTTCTTGGCTGAGTTAAAGTCCCATATCTGAATGATGAAACACAAAGGTATTTAGCAAATGAAAGAACTATAATCATGCTACATTTCTTTATATATATATATATCAGTACTTAAAATTTATCTATGACTTCAAAATATGTTTTCAAGAACACATTACAATTAAGATGGTACTTGACTAGTGTTGTCCATAAGTAGTCCTTTCAGAATCACTGACCTTCATAATGAAACACACTTGAGAATTTTAATGGAATAAAACAAAGGAGTAAACCTTTAATAACTATTGTTCATAGGGATTTATGACAGTGAAATACATCGATCAAATTCATGTTGGTACATACCTGTAATGTTACCCCTGTGCACCGTAAGTCTGTTAGTTAATAATTTTGATGTAACCCCTGTGCACAATAAGTCTGTTAGTTTATAATATTGGTACATACCTGTAATGTTACCCCTGTGCACCATGAGCCTGTTAGGATATGGTTATGTCTTGGATCTATATCAATAGCATCTCCACAAATATGAGGCCCGCTGATATGTCTAAAAATAAACATCTATTTATATAAAAGATGATTTTTCTCCCTAAAAGACCAAGACACCTGAAGATTGATCTACAATTTTCGGTAATTGTCAGTAAAATCTATAAAGAGCTACTAAACTGTTAAAATGACAAATTCTATCAGCCAGTAGTCAAAATAACAAGCTATTTTATATATAAGTTAATAACATGCAGATGATTGTAAAAAAATATATCATCACCTTAGTGCAACCTAGTGCAAAAACTGGTTAACTCCTATTAAATTCCTAAGGACTTAACCTGTTACTGCACTAAGGTGACAATATTTTTTTCTGAACAATACACTGCAAGAAAAATGAACACTGATTTTAATGTGACACGTTCAAGCAATTTATTAATTGACAGGGGTCATTATGCTCCCAAGTAAAAGACTTGGTGACCAAACAGGAAAATAATGTATGTTTTCAGAGGGCATGACTGAAATTTTATAAAGTAACATTCTTGAGAAATTGATAACAAACATTGAAGATAGCTTGATACATTTGAGCCGCGTCATGACAAAACCAACATAGTGCATTTGCGACCAGCATGGACCTAGACCAGCCTGCGCATCTGCGCAGTCTGATCAGGATCCATGCTGTTCGCTTACAAACTCTATAACAAGTAGAGAAACTGATAGCAAACAGCATGGATCCTGATCAGACTGCGCGGATGCCCAGGCTGGTCTGGATCCATGCTGGTCGCAAACCCATTATGTTGATTTTGTCATGACGTGGCTCATTTTAAGTTACATGTTGGTATTGTTTGAATTTATTCTTATCCATTTTAAGTTAATATGGCTGAACATTATAATTGAATTATTCAATATACAAATGCTTCAAAGATGAATACTATATAAAAAGATTAGACACTTTTGCCTCTGAAATGAATAATAATTTTTTCCATCTTTAGAGAAGACAAACATGAATTTCAAAATGTTTTAATACTGGTTTTAGAGGAGAAAAAAAACTTAATCAGTATAACTTTACTAATTGACAAAAGCAACAGAAACAAAAGATGTTTAAGGTAAAAAAAAAAGCTATTGAGAAATAAAATTTAAAGCATTTCTGGGGCATAATGGGCCTTTAAAATGAAACAACTTTTTTCTTTCTTAATACAAAGTGTAATAAGGTATACATGATTGTACATAAGTATAAATTATAGCGCATGTATATTGTAAATATTCATATAAATACTCTAGCATGTTTTCTATATACACAAACATATTCTGTTTTTGTAATTAATTACTACATTTTCAGCTTTTACTCATCTAAGCCATTGTGATTACCTCCCTTGAACAATAAACCAGTTTTTCCTGACAAATACTTATCACCCAATAGGAAAATGGTGAATCAATTTATCTAGATTCTTTTGCTGCATCATGTCTGAATCTAACAGACCTGATCCTTTTTTTAAGAAAAGATCTCTGACAAGATCTTTGTAAGCCTTTTTAATAGATACCTCATATTAAAAAAAGCCAAGTCTCTGACAAGGCCTTTGTTAGCCTTTTTAAGTTTCCGCAATGAAAAGAAGACAACTCTAGGATCTGAACCCAAAGCAATGAGGGGCAATATATGAAGATGTTGACCTTAACCACTCAGATTAACAGATTAAAACATGCAAACAAAATAAATAACACATAGCACAAGATTTATACCAGACATATAACACAGAACACTACAAGCAACACTATAATTATGTCTTTGTTTTAGTCTTTTGCTCAAACACTTGCCGCAAATGAAACATAAGTTAGGACCATTTCAAACAGTAAATTATGATGTTTAGAATACATGTACCGTAGAAAACTGTTACATATCAACACATGTTACTTTAACAAAGCCAAAATCATGGCTTTTTTATGATGTCAAGAAATGAAATATATTTTTTAGCCCATATGTCCTTCACTTTGATCTAATAAATCAATTGGTGAGCAGTAGCCTAGTGTTTAAGGTGTCTGCCTCTCAACCAATGGATTGAGGATCCAAACCCTACTTTGGTTACAACAAAGTATTCTCAATTTTCCCTTAGAGATTAATGATAAATGGTTCAGACTGAAAGATGGATCAGTCTATTGAAATCATTTAGTGAGGTAATATTTAAAATGATATTGACAGAACCAATATAACATTCCATGAAGGTGCAAAATGAAACTGTGAAGATTTGAAGGGTAATTTAACTATCAACTTTAATTTTTGTGCTTCACAGAAAAATTCTTGGAGGCATGAAATAGTAAACTTTAAAAATTAACAACTGACTGTTTGAAATGTTCCTAATGACAAATATAAACATGTATAATATACAATGTATATACATGTGTGAAATCTTTCTCTTCACCCACACACAAAACACACTGAGCAGTTCTCTACATGCAACCTTAGCAATTTCCTACATGCAACCTCAGACTTACTTAAATGCATGCCTCTTTCGATCATCCCAAAACTAAAAACATAGAATAATTGTTAGTAAATAACATAAACAACAATAATACATATATACAAGTATAAAGCATTTACCAGTTGTTGTTAATAAAGCTCTCTTTAGGTCATGTTCCTACATTCATTTTTACTTTAGGTAATGTTTCTACATGCATTTTCTTGAGGTCATGATCCTAAACACAATTTTACTTTAGGTCATGTTCCTACATTCATTTTTATTTTAAGTCATGTTCCTACATACATTTTTATTTTAGGTCATGTTCCTACATACATTTTACTTGAGGTCATGTTACTACATGCATTTTACTTGAGGTCATGATCCTGAACACATTTTCACTTTAGGTCATGTTCTTACATACTTTTTTACTTTAGGTCATTTTCCTACATATGTTTTTACTTTAAGCATGAAACTATAGTCTATTATCTTTATATTCTTGGTTCTACGAATGTTTTTTTTTAGAATTTTTAGAGGACTGCCACAACTCAAAGATCAATACACTGTCTTAATCTAAGACAGATTAAGATGTTTTTTACACATTTTCTTTCCATTTAAACTGAAGATCATACAATCTGAAAACTAACCAGAAATTACTTATTACTCCCAGCGTTTATCAATTCTTAAATTGGATACAAATGTTTTTAGGGATAAATTTTTGAATTCTTAATTTTTGTTATCTTTTTCTGAATTCATAAGCATTGGGCCATCATTTAATGTACCATAAGAGCTTTAATGAACAAACACTGGTAACGCTTCATGTACATTTTGTAAATTTTGTTACACTTACCTTTGAGAGTGTTTCATTCTATCATCCCAGTACTGGAAAAGAAAATATAACTAACACATGATTAAATCTGAATTCCCAATAAGTACTGTTTCAATTATTCTCTGTGATAAAATAATCACAACTGACCTTAGAGCTACAGGTCTAGGCTTGAGCTCCAGACACATTCCATGGTCTAATGATGCAAGCCATTAGTGACTAGTAAATTTCAAAATCCTGACAGAATGACAAAGTTACAGACAGGATACAAGTACATACCAAAAAGATTTCACCATGATAAATATATGAGCAGACTCCTCTTTTTGACCTCTGACCTCTGTATGTTATGTGAAGTACGCTTATATCAAATCAGCAAAGCAGAAGCATTTAGAAGGGTTTATACCATTTGACTGTCCCTGCATGGTAGAGTCTTTAATACCAAGGTTGGTATACAAATAAACAGTACAGGTGCCTGCTATTCCCCAAAAGCCATGTGTTTGGGACCAGGGTTGCTTATATATTATCCAATACTTAATTAATGTCCCTACAATTCCCAAAAGTTTAGGGTGATGAGGCGTGAGTTACAATTAACTGGTATATTACCTGTACAGTATCATCCCAGCCCCCTGATAAGAATACATGCGGTATGGTTGGATGATACATGAGGGCAAATACTCGACACTGGTGACCATCCATTACATTCTGACCATCACTGAAACATGAAATAAATATATACATAACATATAAATCACATGTTATATTTTACCAAGGATATAAGAGTAAACATATGTTTGATTCTTATAGACTGTGGTCATAAATGTACATGAAACTAATTTTTTTCCTTTACCTGTTAAGATCAATAAAAACAGCAATTCACAACATTCTTAAATTTTAAGCATGTATTTATTCACACTTATAGTTAAATTCTGTTTTCTGTTTCAAAACATTAAATTTGTCAAGGCTTTTCTTCCTTCTAAAGGAGGGGCAGTGTAAGGGCTGCTATTTAAGTCCCCTTAGGATAATTCATTAAAATCATGTAGTTTTCTGGTCTACATCAAGATTTTTTCTCTACCCTTTTTCAGAAATATTGAGCTATTTTTCCGGATAAATAAAGGAAGGGCCCCATCCTTTGACAAAAGCCCTACATGTAGCTGAAAATATATAAGTCCTGTCCTTTGACAAAAGCCCTATATGTAGCTGAAAATATATAAGCCCCTTCCTTTGACAAAAGCCCTACATGTAGCTGAAAATATATAAGCCCTGTCCTTTGAAAAAAGCCCTACTTGTAGCTGAAAATATATAACAATGTTGCTTGTTTTCTGGTCAGATAAAACCTAATGATGTACCTGTATTTTGCAAATACAAAAGAACTGTTTGTTCAGTTAAGCAAATAAGCTCTTTTTTCTTATTAGATATGTCATGTTTTAAAACTATCGCTTTCCTTTGAAATAAAAAAAAAATAGATAAAGTTTTATAAAAAAGATCAATCAAAAAGCACAGCAAACAATTTTCAGGACATAATGACTGTTACAGTATAGCAATGGTGCATTATTTATTATTTCAGGCATGAACGATCACATTAGTAGAACTTACTGATGTTCCACAAGCTAGCTGGATAGCTTACTCACACAAAAGAATCCAAAGTCCAGACCCTTGCCTGATTAGATCCAACAGCACTGAGCCAGAGGTGCAAGTAGTTTTAAAGTCAGCGACATTAACCACTAGGCCAAGGATGCCCCTGGGGTTTTTGAAACATTATATGAACAAGAAATGTCAAATGACACATATGCCCCTTCCCTCTTACCTTTAATGGGTAGTAAGAATAAGTAACCATTATGAAAGTCACACAGAAACTGATTATGTAATGGCATGTGTTTATGAATATGGAAAAAAGTATACAAATGTCGATTAAAAATAGAAGGTTTAAAACAATTTAAATGATCATAGTCATTTCTAATGCAATATGATACAAAACAAGTAAAATGAGCTTGACCTTTGGCCCCACTAACCCAAAATCAAAAGGGGTCATCTACTGGCCAAGACCAATGAAGATTCAGGGCCAAGGGCCCACCAGGGTTGTCATGTTATTGGTAGTTTTTACATACAAGGTGAATGTGATCTTGACCTTTGACCCAAAAATCCATAAGGGTAATCTATTGGCCAACCCATTACCCCTATGAATAATGACGGCAGAAGGCCCATGGGCTGTTTAATTATTGGTTGGAAACCATTTTGATACAAATGGTCAATGTGACCTTAATAAGGGTCATCTCTTGGCCAAGACCATAATATGCAACTGTGAAGCTTCAGGGCGAAAAGCCTATGGGTTCTTAAGTCATTGGTCGGAAACCATTTTGATATAAAAAGGTCAATGTAATGAAACCTTAATCAGTAATTTTGTTGGTGTACAAAGTCAAAATTCATGCAAGTAATGGGTTTTTGACAATGACTTACAAATATGAATCTGAAATTATGAATTTTCAAAAAAAAAAAGCTTTAGTGGTTATAAATGACATTTAAGGTTGCAAACAAAACATTGACTTAGAGTTGTGTCAAACCTAGATAGTTCATTAGTGCTTTCCTCTGAACTGTCAGGCTAAAATACAACCTGAACGGAAGAACTAATGACTCAGACATTCAGGTTTCTGATTAATTATACTCTTTCATACAGTAATAGCTGTGACAGCAGAAAACATACAGCTATCAGCAAAAAACATATGGTAATAGCTGTCAGCTGAAAACAAACAGTTATAGCTGTCAGCAAAAAAATCATATAGTTATAGCTGTCAGCAGGGTTATAGTTATTATAAAGTTATAGCTGTCAGCTGAAAAAAAAATGGTTATAGCTGTCAGCAGGAACAATACAGTTAGAGCTTTTGGCTGAAATCAAAGGGTAAAAGCTATCAGCAGAAAACAAGTTTTATAGCAGAAGATTGTAAGCAAGAATTAGACCAAAAACTTTACATTTTTAATGATGAAGGATCCATGATGTTTTAAAATCGCTCACCAGTAAGGGAGGATAACATTTGAACAAATTGTGGAAAATGTCTAGTTCAAGACAGAAATGGAGAGAAAAAAATAACCAGTATACTGGTAATACAAGAAGCAAATAGCAAAGTTGCTTCAAATTAAATCACATATCAAAATACTTAAATTTCTAAAAAAATCAGGATCAGTCTTGTTCAGGCTTAAAAAATGAGACAAAATTCTACATAAATGCTTTGTAAAAAAAAAAAAATTAAATAAAATTGAAAACAATTTCTGGTATGCAAAGCAAATTATGCCCTTGATTGGTGAAATTTCCAGTGATCCTGGAAAGTTCAATGAATATGTCTGTATTGGCCTTAACAGAGGCTACAACCCTGTAATTCATGATTGGATTTAGCTCAAAATATTATTTTTTCCAAGCCAATATAAGTCCAAGCCTATCCATAATGAGACTGGTAATTGCCAAGAAAATATTCTGGTTCAATATATGGACAATTTGTTTGATTGTGTTTTACGTCACATTGACACAGTATAGGTTATATGGCAACATTCCAGTTTTACTGGTGGAAGAAGACCTCGGGTACCCTTCTATACATTATTTCAGGCACGAAAGGGCACCTGAGTAGAACCATCATCGTTCCGTAAGCTAGCTGAGTAGCTTCCTCACATGAAAGAATCCAAAGTCCCTGTCGAAATTCAAACCAAGTTAGCGGTGAGGGCAATATATGGACAACAGACATCATTTAGTCACAAAGCACTTATAAAGCTCACCAAGACCGCAAATTAGTCAGGTGAGCTAAAGATATTAAAATTGTTATTTTTCAAAAACAATTTTTGTTACAGAAAATCAAAATAAAAATAACATACCTATAACAACTGATATATAAGAAGAACCCATAATCGTAGAAAATAGTTAATCATACACATATATCAAAGACAATTATTATTTTCAAAACTGCACCATTGAAATTGCAATCTGTTTACCAAGAGACCAAACAGCAAGCATTATAAATGAGCCGCGTCATGACAAAACCAACATAATGGGTTTGCAACCAGCATGGATCCAGACCAGCCTGAGCATCCGTGCAGTCTGATCAGGACCCATGCTGTTCACTTACAAACTCTATAACAAGTAGAGAAACCGATAGCAAACAGCATGGATCCTGATCAGACTGTGTGGATGCGCAGGCTGGTCTGGAGCCATGCTGGTCACAAACCTATTATGCTGGTTTTGTCATGTAGCGGCTCAAATTAATTCGAAATTTGCCGTCAGATGTAACAAGACATTTAGATAGCACAGTTAATAATGGTGAAGATAATATGACATAGATATGGCTACATAAAGTGCACAAAATACTCAACCTCGCCTCACTGGATAACATAAAGACAGAAAACAAGAAGAGGCGTATGAGACGGATATATTATTAAGCGAAAACTGTGATCTTTAGAATATCTTCCGACAAAAATGTAGAACTTTGTTAACAAAGACATTGGATATGTCAATAACAAAACATACCAGTCTAAGATATATTTTCAGTGTATAATTAAACTGAATATTATAATAGTTCTGATACAGTAATAATCTTAAATTTGGATCTAAACTTTAAGTGTCCATAGATCTGTAAAATTGTCCTAGATTGCTGTTATCTTAAGATAATTTCATACTTGTTGTATCAAACATAAATAAGTAAGAATATGATGATTATCTTATATTTGTGTCATTATTGAATATGATAATTATCCAATAATGACATCATTATCTAGTATCAAATATGATAGTTTTCCAATACTCAGATGTCATTATCAAACATATGATAATTATCCAATATCAATGTCATTATCAAATATGATTATTATTCAAAACTAATTGAATACTAATACTAATACTAATTAATCTTATTATTAAATACTGATGTCATTATCAAATATGATAATTATTTAAAACTGGCGCCATTTTCATATACAAAAATCATCAAATAATGATGTCATCATCAAATACAAATTTTTTTTATCAAATAATGATGTAATTTTCAATTATGATAATTAGAAAACAATGATGTCATTATCAAATACACTTATTATTATCAAATAGGCAGGTTTCATTATCCAAAATGATAATTATGCAACACTCATTATCAAATATGACAATTATCAAATAATCAACTAAGTGAAAAAATGATCATATTTAATATAATTTAATAACAATAATTATCTCAAACTGAAGTCATTATCAAATGATAATGTACCTGGGTTCTAGTGTATTGACTCTCTTCAATGTTTCCATGTCATACAAATGAATTTGTGGATTGTCACCTGTTGTACAGAACATTGTGTTATCTGGATTAACAGACAATGTCAGGATTTGTGAAGTCTCCCCATCATGTATTGTGTGTAAACACTTCCCTGTTGTAAAATGCCAAAATTTAACCATTCCAGATGCATCTGAAAAACAATGAAAATTTAATAGTGCATTTTCTCTTTTTTGATTAAACATTGAAACCAGTTATTATAATGATTAAAACCATTCAAGGGAAAAAGAATTCATACAAAACTTGTAATAATATGTGTAATATTGATTATTTCTGAAAAAATAATAAATCTGAAATAATCTGTTCAGTTGGTAGATTTAAGCTTATCGAGACAAAAAGCTTTAAATGTATGTGTTACATATTACAATGTGAATCAGAGTTTAATTGCAGCATAAATTACATGATATTTGTAAATAAGAAACCTTTCGGCCACTAGTAACAAATCATAAATTATACTCCTTGTTTATAATTGTCCAATATCATTTTTGTAATCAAATTCATAAACAAAAGGTCAACTGGTAAAAGCCATTATGACAGCCCTATGCAAGTTAACAGAAAAGTTCTCTACAATGGCCAACAGTGGGAGCCAAACCAATGCAGTATAGTGAGGGAGAATTGAGCTATTATAGTTTAGCAAAAATTATCACTCCATCAAAGAGACCTATTTATCATTCTTCCCAAATAACTTTTATCATCTCTTGTGTTCTGGTTTACTTACATGATGCTATAACTACCCTCTTGTGTTCTGGTTTACTTACATGATGCTATAACTACCCTGTTGTATTCTGGTTAACTTGCATGATGCTATAACTTCCCTTATGTGTTCTGATTTACTTACATGATGCTATAACCACCCTATTATGTTCTGATTTACTTACATGATGCTATAACTACCCTTTTGTGTTCTGGTTTACTTACAAGATGCTATATATACCCTGTTGTATTCTGGTTACCTTACATGATGCTATAACTACCCTAATGTGTTCTGATTTACTTAAATGATGCTATATTACTACCCTCATGTGTTCTGGTTTACTTACATGATGCTATAACTACCCTCTTGTGTTCTGGTTTACTTACATGATGCTATAACTTCCCTCTTGTGTTCTGGTTTACTTACATGATGCTATAACTTCCCTCTTGTGTTCTGGTTTACTTACATGATGCTATAACTACCCTCTTGTGTTCTGGTTTACTTACATGATGCTATTACTTCCCTCTTGTGTTCTGGTTTACTTACATGATGCTATAACTTCCCTAATGTGTTCTGATTTACTTACATGATGCTATAACTACCCTCTTGTGTTCTGATTTACTTACATGATGCTTTAACCTCCCTCAGGTTATAACTTCCCTCTTGTGTTCTGGCTAACTTACATGATGCTATAACTACCCTCATGTGTTCTGATTTACTTACAAGATGCTATATATACCCTGTTGTATTCTGGTTACCTTACATGATGCTATAACTTCCCTAATGTGTTCTGATTTACTTAAATGATGCTATATTACTACCCTCATGTGTTCTGGTTTACTTACAAGATGCTATATCTACCCTGTTAACTTACATGATGCTATAACTTCCCTAATGTGTTCTGGTTTACTTACATGATGCTATAACTACCCTCTTGTGTTCTGGTTTGTCTCCTATAGTGAGGGAGAATTGAGCTATTATAGTTTAGCAAAAATTATCACTCCATCAAAGAGACCTATTTATCATTCTTCCCAAATAACTTTTATCATCTCTTGTGTTCTGATATACTTACATGATGCTATAACTACCCTCTTGTGTTCTGATTTACTTACATGATGCTTTAACCTCCCTCTTGTGTTCTGGTTTACTTACATGATGCTATAACTACCCTCTTGTGTTCTGGTTTACTTACATGATTATAACTTCCCTCTTGTGTTCTGGCTAACTTACATGATGCTATAACTACCCTCATGTGTTCTGATTTACTTACAAGATGCTATATATACCCTGTTGTATTCTGGTTACCTTACATGATGCTATAACTTCCCTAATGTGTTCTGATTTACTTAAATGATGCTATATTACTACCCTCATGTGTTCTGGTTTACTTACAAGATGCTATATCTACCCTGTTAACTTACATGATGCTATAACTTCCCTAATGTGTTCTGATTTACTTACATGATGCTATAACTACCCTCTTGTGTTCTGGTTTGTCTCCTGCCTCAAAGTGTTTAAATCTGATTTGTGTGACTGGGAGTTTTGCTTTCACTGTTTCATCATCTTGTAAACTGTGTAAACAATTACATGTCAGTGGATCTGATTCGTAAATCTGAAAACATAAACAGGAACTAATCAGTTAGATTATTAGATTAAAGTGAATATGCATTGATTAGTAAGTGAAATTATGGGACAGTGGATTTTTTCTATTATTTTCGAGAAGATATTTAAAATTGATAAACTAGTTAATCTAGTCTATAAACCAAACAAGAGGGCTACAATGTCCTAGATTGCACAGCTCAAAACCATAACTTCACAAGGTCATAATTTATTCAGTGCTGAAGTGGGTCACTGGGTCAAGTTCAAGGACATCCACAATCAAATTTTGATAATACAGTAAACTCAGCTTATAACGAACTCATCGGGACATTCCAAATCTGTTCCTTATATCCGGAGTTCCTTGTAAGCATATAGCGAATTAGTTTCTTGTATCAGTAGTTTTTATAGCGAACAGATTTACATATAACCAACTGATTGTTTTCCATCGTCCGCCATTTGAAGAGTGATTTGATTAAGAAAAAATAGTCATTAATTTCCATTTTAGACACAATACCCGAGAGCGTACTTTTGGAATTTGAAAATCCTTTGCTATTTTTTATGTTTTGGTTTTACTCCCTTTCTCAATTTCTCATAAAATATCATATTTTGTTTCTAAACTCAGTGCTTTTCGTTTTCTTTCCATGAATAAGAATTAACAGAATTTTTGATTTTCAATCTTTTTATATTGTATATCTTATATTATATTTTAAGGGTGACTTTTACTAATGAATGATATAGTTTTCAAAGGATTATGCTAGCAAGCATGCGTGAATATGTTGAAAACAGATTATAAATGATATCATAATTATTTTACCCGGGCAAAACTATATATTAGAGAAAAGAAATAAGAGAATAAAAGGAATAACCGTTTTATCTTGGTGACAATAACTCATGCTAAAAATTTCCTAAAAAGAAAACTAGTATGTACTGCTCATGCATACTGCTCATTCAAATTCATTTTAATAGATGTATTGAAGTACAGACAACAATTAATGGTACATTCGGCCGAGTTTTAATCCGTGTAAATGAAAACGAAAGTTGAAAATGCGGTATCTATTTATAGTTTGTTATAAAAGTGTAATTTTCTGTACTTTTCTCTCAATTGGGACTTAGTAATGAGTTCCTTATAAGCGATGATTCCTTATAACCGTGTTCGCTATAACCGTATATTTTTATATTAAATAAAGAAGGGCATAATTCGGGCCAAAATAAATTGTTCCTTATAACCGGATGTTCGCTATAACCGTGTTCGCTATAAGTGAAGTTTACTGTGTTCTCATGGTCTAAATTTGAAAATTGAAATTTGTAATTCCAATTATAGGTCACAGGATTAAAAGTGAAATCATTCAATGTTACAGTTCAATAACACATACAAACTGCAGTAATTCAAGTACTTAACTTAATGAGGCTCAAGGTCATCCTACGAAAAATGTCAAGGTCACAGAAGCTCATTTCCACAAACAACAAAAGCTGCCGGTAGGAAAGCATTGTGCTTGACAGTAAAACAAGAGCCTGGATAAAGTGGATTTTTTTAAAATGGGCCATAATTTTGTTAAAATCCATATTAAAGTTATGGGCCTAAATGGATAGTGCCCTCTTTAATAATTATGCTCTCAAATAAGTGCGTGTTGTTTCAACCTTTTCCCTTAAGTATATTATGGAGAACCTTTTCCCTTAAGTATATTATGGAGATATCAACTTGCACACAAAAACTAAACCAAAGTGTGACGCCAATGCCTGAGTGTCAGTACATAATAGCTCTCCCAATTCTTGGAATAGTTGCAGATGTCCAATTTTCAAATGTACAGATTTAAATCAACCATCGATTCTGGACATAGAAATTTCATGGCTATATAGTATGGAAAATACAAGACAAGGCTTGTATATTCTGTTTATTACATGCTTTTCGGTGGTTTATAGAAATATATCAGTGATATAAAACTGGTAATTTCACTGTTTGAAACAGTGAAATTACCACTTTGATAATTTCACTGGTTTTGAATTTAAGCCCCTTACGTTGTTTCAGTGAAATACCAGCGTGCACAGAACTGGGTACCAACTTAATGACGTACGTCGTAAATGACGTCATGTTATATTATTATTTGGTGGGCTTTTCATTCAGTATTAGGTTAAATGTCTTTTTAAAACGTTTCTTTGCATGTAATAAAAAGAAAATTTGTTTAGTTTAGTGTAAGATCAAATATATTTCACCTTGTGAACACCAAAAGTTCATATTTCACTCGTGGCTGTGCCACTCGTGAAATATACTTTTTGGTGCTCACTCGGTGAAATATATTCCGATCTTACACTGAACTAAACAAATATCCTCTATATAATTACACTGTGTACTGTGCTTTAAATTGCTTTGCTTTAGGTTATATTATTTAAGTAAAAAAGTAACATACAAAACACATGCAGGGGATTCACCAGCTGTAACAATAGCAGGAAAACTACACATTGTTGACTATACCATTTAACCCTTAGTATTAACCCCTGGTAATTGGTAAAACTGGTCAAATTTTAAACTCTTCTTTAATACCAACAAAATATTCGTACATTTGTTTACCATTATCAAATATAATACTATAAATATATTTAAACAATCAACATGAACAATGCCTGTCATGAGTACATTATAACTAATCTGTTAGAGGGGGGTATATTCTTGTTTTGATAAGGTTTTATAGAGTAATATAGACCAAGATTTTTTATGCAAATGACAAAACAATGCCAAGCTCACATCAATATTCAAACAAGAAACTTACTTAATTGATATCATAATATTTCTTATATCAAAGGCTAATTACATGGCTAAATGTCAAATAATCTTTTAACGTTCTTTATAGTTCGGTTTAATGATACTACGTACATTATTGATTAATATTATTTGCACCAATTAATCTGTAATTTTGCAGGTGGATCAGTATGTTGAGTAAACAAATATTACAATTCCATACTGAGCTCAGAAGCTTATATTAAATACTATAAAATTTGATCAGTTAATAGTCGATGAATGCTATGTGGCAGTATTCAGACTTGTAACACAAGTGGAAACAAAACTCAACTTTCCATTTTCGCAAGAAAGGTACAAGGTAAAGTATAAAATGTTCCCAAGACTTATAAACACCTGTAGCATGTAATAAGTTCCTAATTTGTATTCAGAGGATATTGGATAGTCAGTAACCAGAATGAAATTCGGAAAAAAAATTGTAATATCAAACATTGCTGAATGGATCGAGTAACTCTTAACGACGCTGCGCGGAATGATGTGAATGTCTGAGTCCTGCCATTTTTATTATCATGACCATCAGAGTTAGTCAATTTTATAACTTACTATTAAATTTTTTCAGGCTGTATCCCTGGGTAACACAAAAAGATATTTATGCGCACAAGAACCATTTTTAAAAACTGTGAGTTACATGATCTGAAATATACGCCTAAATCTGCGGTCTCGTTAAACAAGAACCTTAACACCCGATGTAGATTTTCCATGATAACACCTGGAAGAGAGGCTGGTAAACCCTGGAATACTATGGAAAAGCACAGAATTCCATTAAAATTCATGGCATAAGCAATTTAGGTGGAGGCCATCATAATAATCAATGCCTACCATTCTTCATTTAAATCTTAATGGACTTGTACATCTTTCAATCTGGACAAAATCATTTAATTATTTTAGGCAAATTTGAAAATATATCTGGACTGAATATGATCAGATGGCACTGATGTATTTGCTTATCTTGGTACAGGTCACATAGGTGGAATCTGCTGCTGCATTCAAAGCAAGCTCAATTTAGAGTTTAAAATAACTATTTCTACCAAAAGTCAAGCTAAACCGATTTTGAATATGCCATTACCTTAAACTATATAATTATCAATTTCAAACCTCCAATCCATCTGCTAATAAAATCAAGTTTTACTTTAATTTACAACTGAGAGACCTATAGAAAAACATAAGTCGACTTTTCATTGGATTTTTTTATTAAATACACAACTTTGATACGCTAACCTTTTTTGACAAAGTAAAATAGGTGTATAGAATTTCTCTATACTGATTGAAGAAAATCCAATTTTCATGTCAATAAACATTTCACCTTCATGGCTAACAAATTCCTCATTAAGTTAGAGCCGATATCATTTAATATCCAATGTCCCTGAACACTAACATGAAAGTATTATGATATGTGAAATGTAAAATACAAATGATCAAACATGTATATGCAAAACTGCAAAAAAGAATTATGTTTACATTAAAACTTAGAGTTAAACCAGCATCGTTCCATTTCATGGACATTTTTTAAATGCATTAAAAAGTAAAAATTGTGTCAAGTGAACAAAGAAAGTAATTTACACATTGTAAATGGCACTTATAATCTACGAAAATGACCAAAAAATAAAAAATATAATACTCAAAAATATTAAAGTGTTTTATGAAGTTTTATTTCTATTACAGTGCAAAATCATTTATCAGTTAATTATTTCTTTATTATTGTAAATATTTTCACTTTCCTTAAAATCTTAGTACATTTTGTCCATTTTTCTCAAGGTTTAAACTTTTGTGAAAAAGTTTGGCTCATCTGGAGGCTTCAAAAGCTGCTAAATTGCTAATCTCAGCTTCAACTGAGTTTTCGTCAATTAATTGTTTACAAATATAGGTAATATTCTTCTTCAAATCAATAGTTTTTTTGGGATTTTTTGGCGCACCAACATAGGTGACTTTCCAGCTTTACTGGTGGAGGAAGGCATCAGGTGTCCTTCTGTGCATTATTTCAGACATAATCAAATGGCCACCTGTCAGTAGAACCGCACTGACGTTCCGTAAGCTACAGCTCAGGATAGCTTACTCCTCACATGAAGTCGGTATCCGAACCCACAGCAGAAATCAATAGTTAAGCATGTTTCTAAATTGTTATGGAAAAGATGTAGATGTATAATTGAGCAGCGTCACGACAAAACCATTGCATAGTGGGTTTGCGACCAGCATGGATCCAGACCAGCCTGCGCATCTGTGCA